TGCTAATGATGAGAAAGCAATAGCGGATATCATTGCCCAGTACAAAACAGACACTAGCATCAATGGGTCAGGATTTTTTATATTTTATGATAAACAAATTTAGAAATGTTCATGTTTAATGATAATGTCTACAACCCAACTTTCATTTCGCGAAAAGTGAAACTAAGAAATTAGTATGTATACTCTTAGTCAAAAGGCACTTCATCCTAGAGAGGAAGTAATAGCACTGTTTTACATACACACACACACACACTGTATGTAAAACAGTGCAATTACTTCCTCTCTAGGATGAAGTGCTTTTTGATTAAGAGTATACATACTAATTTCTTAAGTTTCATTTTTCGAGAAATGAAAGTTGGGTTGTAGACATTATCATTAAACATGAACATTTATAAATTTGTTTATTGTGATCTAAAAGAGATTTATGTTGCAGGGGACCAGAATAACCTAGAATATTTTCTCAGACAGACAAGTGCAAGTGAGCCCTGAAAACAGAAGTGTTCAACCGAATCACAAACTTCTGGAAAACTGCAGAACCTGATCTTTTAGCTACTCTCAGCAACACCAAGGGCACACATTTTCTTGCCGAGTACAAATTCACAGGAGCCTAGGGAGTAAATGCACTAGCCTGCCCATGGACCTTTGCTATAGTTTACGCATTCTGCCTCATCCCATGATCTCCAGCTTTCAGAGGGTGGCCCATTTTCTTTGAATCCTGATTGTGATCATTCCATATTGGCCATAAAGGCCATGCTACTTCAACTCAGCCTGGAACCACCTTTAAAATATCCACCAACACAGAATCTGCTGAGTCAGGGTCCTTTCCTTCATCTGTCCCCAAAGAAGCTCAACCTGATGGCATTGAAATTGAGCAGCAGAGACTCTCCAGACTAGGATATTCCAGGGCAGTATTATCCACCCTCATGAAGGCTAACTAACATTCTACCAATTCAACTTACCAAAGAGTTCTTAGAAACAGCCTTAAAGAGATTCTTCAGCCTTTCTTCTCCAGATGTCAACAATTCCCTGAGGCAGCACGTGTCAACAACTTCAGCCCTGACAGCCAAAACATGGGCCTTGAATCCCCATATTATTCAGTTTCAAACAGCCTGCCTGAAATTATGTCCTCCTACAAAGCCAGCATTTCTGCAGTGGAACGTATCCTTAGTTTCTTCAGTCCTGTCAGCAGAACCTTTCCATCTAGCTGAGGGTTGCACTATTTGTAATCTAACCCTCAAGGCCACCATTTTAGTGCCCATTACATCCTCTAGATCAGTGGTTCTCAACCTGGGGGTCGGGACCCCGTCGGGGGTCGAATGACGATTTGCCAGGGGTCGCCTAGCGGCTTCCAGCCACCCAGGAGAGAATCAGTTTCAGAATTCAGTTACAAACAGCCTGCCTGAAATTATGTCCTCCTACAAAGCCAGCATTTCTGCAGTGGAACGTATCCTTAGTTTATTCAGTCCTGTCAGCAGAACCTTTCCATCTAGCTGAGGGTTGCACTATTTGTAATCTAACCCTCAAGGCCACCATAATAGTGCCCATTACATCCTCTAGATCAGTGGTTCCCAACCTGGGGGTCGGGACCCCAATGACGATTTGCCAGGGGTCGCCTAGCGGCTTCCGGCCACCCAGGAGAGAAGCACTTTCTCTGCTCTTTTTTTTCAGCCAGAAAAAAAAAAAACGTTCTCATCGAGCAGACTAAACCTTTCCAGGAGAAAGTTTTTTTTTTTTCCGACAGGGTTAAAAGTAAACCTGCCGCTCCGTGTGCACAGTGAGAGGGGATAGCAGTCTTCTCCTCTCACCTGTCACAGAAGTTCCAGCACAGTGCTGTGCTAGAGACTCCTGTATTGGAGGTGACAGGGTCAATAAAGAGAACCTGTCACCAGCAATTGCTATTACACAGGGGATTGTTTTCTCCTGTGTGATAGCAATGAAGTTAAGTGGAAAAAAAATAGATAAAAAAAATGATTAAAGAAATAAAAATTAAAATAAAAAAAATAAAAAAGCGATTAAAAAGAAATAAGAAACAAATTAAACAAATAAGAAAATTATAAAAAACAAACAATAAGGCAAGAGTCCTCCTCAGCCCTCTCCTAGCGCAGCAGTGTCAGTTCTCCCGCCACGCCGCCAGATGTCGCTGCAGCAGCCGCGCCATCCCCACATTTTACCGTTGGGGGTCACCACAACTTGGCAAATGTTACCAAGGGGTCCCGGCCCTAGAAAGGTTGAGAACCACTGCTCTAGATGCATTTCCAAACTTCATACCTTATTTAGAGCAGAGCCTGTTACTGACAGAGTAGTCCTTAGGCCAATGTTATATTTCAAGAGATATTGCGAAGACATAGTGTTACTTACTGTCATGGTGCGGCCATAAAAATATCATATTTTTGGCCTCTGAGTCAATTCATTTCCTTACTGAATGCTGTCTCAAAGCTAACTTGTTAGCTGGATAGTGCTAATTAAGCCAAATGCAGGTTTGTTGTGCTCCCTCAGCAGGGAACCTCAGCAGTCAATTTCCTTCCTGGGACATTGCAGACAAATGGTTTCTAGGTGGGTTTTTTTCACCAGACTGGAAAAGGTGTCACCTCACCTGCTTGTGTATTTCAATGTTCAAAATGCCTAAAAAAGGTCATATCTCATAAATCCTGTCCCAAACACTATATGATCGTAGAACCTTCAAAGAAAGAACGATGGCACAAAGATGAACTGATTGACACTAAACCAGTGGCGGAACTACCGCCGGTGCGGGTGCACCAGGGCCTTGGGCCTGTGGGGGGGCCCAGCACAGCCCCAGCGCCGGATCGGTACCCAGCAGCCAGCGGGCCCCCCATTTCTGCGCCGAGAGTGTCGGATCATCCGTTCATCCGACACTCCCGGCGCAGAGATGGGGGGCCCGCCGG